TTGTGCACTTTTTGTCTTTTTAGACTAAAAAATTGAGATTGAAAATATGGATGTTTGGGTTAACTTTTTGACTTTTTATTGAAAAATGTGTAATAAAAAATTGTAAAAATTGATTTGTAGGGAAAAATTTGAATTGAGAGTTGTGCAGCCGTAATTGTTGACTTTTGGTGAATAGTATTAACTTTTTAACTTTTTGAGTAACTTTTTTACTTTTTAACTTTTTTACAAGTTCCCAAACTCGGCCTAATCTAATATGATGCATTCTAATCCTTTCAACAAATCTAGCAAGTCATCATTCTAAAGTAAATTTTTATCAAATTCATCCTAAAATCGGTTGTCTAAGAGAATGTCCAACCTAACAATTACCTACAAATTTGATGAAGGAATAAATGCTCCTTTCATTTGATGAAAAAAGCACTGATTCCTACATTTGAAACCAAACTGATGAAATTATTGAAGCACTATTTTCATCAAATTTAAATTTGATAAAAGATCGTATGAAGGATTGAAGAGGGTCTAACAAATAATAATTTGGATCCTTAAATTTTGATATCAAAAAGAAAAAATTTAAAATTATTTATATATATTATTTATATGATTTTTTTAATTAAAAAAATTGTTTTTTTTTTATAAATATTTATTATTATTATTATTTAGTGTGTTTGGGTTGAATTTTCTGAATTAATTTTTTTGAAAACTGGAGTTTTTTAGTTTAAGTGTTTTTTTATTTTTAGTGAATATTTTTAAAATTGTAAATATTTTTTTTTTACTTTTTTAGATGCACTTTACTTAAATGTATCTAAAAGGTAAAAAAATGTGAAAAAATATTTAAAAAGATTAATAAATACATAAAAATACAAAAAATATACTGAATTCTTATATTTTTGGTATTTAGTAAATTTAAAAAAAAAATCACAATTTTTTTACTTTTTAGGTATATTTATGTTAGATATGTCTAAAAATTTAAAATATAAAAAAATTAAGTAAAAACAAAAAAACACGAAAAATAAAAAAGTAGAATTTTCTGAAAAGTGTTTTTGGAAAACGCTAACCAAATAAAGTGATTGTTATTCATAATTATTTTTTTTTCTTTGACAAAAACAACATTAGTAATCATGGTTCTAAATCACGGTATCGGGTAACGTAACGGTATCGATTGTAGAGTATCAGTATCGGTTAGTATGTATCGTGAATTAGGTGTCGTGGCGAAAATTTTAAAAATCATATCACAAGTTTTTTAGTTTTTTTTTTTCCCGTATCGGTCCAAACCGGTGAGTATCGGTCCATCGCGGGTTGTGTAATGGCTTGTATAACGGTTACAAACCGCTATGTACCAGGACTCGGCCGATTCTCCTGTGATTTTCGATCTCAGCGCTATACCGGCCTATATCTGTCGCGGTGTTCCATTTTTTCGATACAGACCTACCGGTACATGGCGTATCGGCCGATTTTTAGAACTATGGTAGTAACGTAATATGTTAGTATAATTATATTACAATTAAAAAGTTGATCACTGGTCCATCAGCTTGAACCACCTCCCTCTTACCATACCCTAAGGTGGAGCTATTATAATAAGTTTGGCGAATTTTCATGACTTGTTTTTTGATTTTTTTAAATTATAAAGTAATTTGACAAAAATAAACGCAAAAAAAATATTTTTGAATTTTTAAATTTATTTCAATCACAAAAAATGGAAAATAATGAATAATTTTTATTTTTTTAAAAGACCAACTTTTGATTTTAAAAAAGAAAAGAAAAGAAGATTCTGAAACATCAACCAGACAGTCTTTTGCTATATATATTGTGATAAATAGATGATTCCAAGCACAACTTATAGAAAGGATTCTCTCTCTAGTTTTGAGAGCTTCTCTCTCTAAACTTTTCTTTCTTAGGGTTTTCGCAGCTTCTAGCCACCGGCGGTGGGTGAGGGGGTTCCGGCGGCCTCCGGCCTCCTCTCCCCTCCCCTTACCTCTCTTTTGTTCTTTCCTTTCCCCACTTTGCTTTCCAATAACTTGGAGGCTTTGGCTCTCCACCCTCTTCCTCCTTTGTGAGGTGTTGCTTTCTCCCCTCCATTCACTCCGGAAGTGGCCTCACGGCTCTGCGGCTTTAGGATCTACGCCTTCCCCGCCTCTTCTCCGCTGCCTTCACCGCCTCCATTGCCGAATTCGTCAACATC